CAATTCAGTTTGACACATGAAGATACCGTGAAATTAGAGAAAACACAGAAAACACACATTGCTCCGAGAGTCAGACGAACAGAGAAAATCAGAGAAAAACATAGAAAAACACAGCCAACATACACCAACACACCTTGCTTTCTGTCTGCTTTCTGGTGGTTTCAGCGCTCCCGCCTTTACCATCAGTGCGCATTGAGATGCGAGTCACACAGTTGTTGTACTCCGTCCTCAGAGCAACTGCCGAAGTTTTTTTAAAACTCTCGTTTCAGTCCCAAGTTGAGGCTGCGGTAAACAATATGCAACAATCCTCTGGCAGGTTTAGATTGACAAATTGCATCTCGAATCAAGTACATTAGTGAATAACAGATTACCTTGACCGTGGAAGTGCTTCGACAAAGCTCCTGTTGTGACTCTCAGCCAGAGTCAAATCTGAGCCAGCGGGCAACCAGTCTTGGCAACTACTCAGGCATTTTGGTTTGATCTCGTCCAAAGGATCCTGAGGCGGAACAAATGCCTCCACTGGACGCTTTGGCACAGTTGATCAGACTGTATACACTGTATGGATTGTATGTGTTTGGTTGATTTCAGATATCAGCAAGAGGTGAGAGGACAAGTACATCCATAAAATAAACGGAAACAAATACATTCCATACAGGATGACTCAGGATGACTCAGGATGACTCAGGATGACTCAGGATGACTCAGGATGACTCAGGATAACCACATGTGTGACCACAGATACCTCCACCCTTCCCATGGTCTCCTTGTGCTCTTCACCAGGCTTCAAGTGCGGAGCCTGAGGGTGTCACTCGACGTCACTCGGCGTCACTGAGGGTCGCAGATGTCGCTGCTCAGTTTGCTGAGTCCAAAACATGATATTTGGGGAAGTGCCTTGGCAATACGACAAATGAAAAAGAGAGTTATACATACATGATATACTTATTGTGTGTGTATGTATGTGTATATATATATATGTTATACATATGATAAGTGTGTATCTTCGGCACGATTTCTGGAGATACTCTAGGCACAGAATGCACAACCAACCGGTTGTCACCATAGACATGAGCACTGGCAACCCGAGGGGTGTAAATCTGGCGAGGCTTCAATGTTGTCAACCTTCTGGGTGTAAATGCGGGCTTCACAACTGGGTCCTGGACAAAAAGAACTGGGGGCTGTATGAGTAGCTCATTGGTCCTTGGCACAGCCCACACACGTCTGAGGGGCATTGAGATATCATTCAATATCTATCAACCTAGGCATGTTCATCTAGATCACTAATGGATACTAATGGTCACTACGTGCCGTGAGGCACAAGAGGCCCACTAAGATTTTGAGTCAGTAGAAATTGGAGATATGTCAGCCAGCTATTGCATTGTCAAGGAACAGCAGGAGCTTCGCAAAAATCTCCGAGACCGTTTGAGCCAAGAGCTTCGCAAGTTGTGGCCGCACTTGAGAATTCAGTTGCAACAAAGTTCCCTCAGAAAAAATAAGATCTTAACTCAGCTTGGTCACTGAACACTGGTCTTGCTTGGGGCACCTTCTGCCACCGGGTCAGTGGTAGCCACAGCACAACCTGCATGAAGTCTGGAAGACACTCTGGACCCGGTTTGAAACCATGACAAGTTGACCAGCTTGGCCCTTTACCCTCTGGTAAATTATATAACATAACTATGGAAAATCACCATTTTTAATGGGAAAACTCACTATAAACTACCAGAGGGTACCACACATTCAAAGAGTTCTGATATGTTCTGATTACGAAAAGCCCCTGATTGGCATGCTCAAAATTGCATGCTTTCACTGCACACACCAAAATTCCGTTGAGGATGCACCAGCAACCATCCCGACCTCCGTCTTCGGTGGCAAATCTGCCAGAACTTGCTCCTGGGCATTGAGCTTTTGCTGCCAGCAGTGTCAGCAGTGTACTTTTGGACACCAAAAGAAAATCACATGCTCCCTGAACCATCGAATAGCTATCGTACCATATCGTACCTTTGTTCTGCGCAGAAGGAATGGTCGCAGCCTCGCTGTGATACCGAGACCAAAGACCGAGACACAGAAACACAGAAAGCTCATCATCCATGATATTGGCTTCCGGACACTCCATGCAGCCGTTGGATGATCAAGAGCCTCATTAGAAATCTCACAACCATGTCCTATTGGAAATATCCCATCCCCCAATGCCCTGCAGTCGTCTGCAGGTGATGCTTCGTCGATGGATGTTTTGTTGGGTCCAATCTGTTCATGTCAGCCATGGAACTCTTCCTCCTGCGACAGGATCTTGGCCTCGCGGTCCCACTCGGCAATCCATTCGTGAAGCGAGGGACAGAATGGTTCTAACAAGCGGTTGATTTTAAAATACCTTCCTTCAATTCTTCCCCTTGGTTGTCTTGAGCGTGAAAAGGCAAAAACCCGCAACCACGCAACCATGCAGGGTATCCTCTGCTAGCAAGAGACACAAAGGCAATCAAGTTGGAAAGAGCTTGAAACACGATTTGTTTTGACGAAGGAAATTTATGTATGTGTATACATAAGAAGAAGCTGATATTATAATATATATAATATAATCCTCGTTAGAATTAGGGGGGAGGGGTTGGACCCCCCTCTGCGTAGTTACAAATCACTAGGGACCAACTCCCAGTGTCTACAAGAAGCATTCACCTGCCAAAACCTTGGGACTACAAAAAGCTAGTGCCAACTCTAGGCACCATGCCAAGAACCGAGCTAAATCAGCTCTACAAAAAGGTTGCTCAACCCACATGGTTAACTTAAAAGAACCATCAATTAATTATCCAGCTGGATTTTTCCCTATCCTTTTTGTAGAGGTTTCTGTGCTCTCAGGAGGTTGGGTCCCCCCGAACTCTCAGCATTTTGTGGAGAAAGAAAGCTTTCATGTGGAAGTCCTTTTTTAACCCTCGTTTCGGCTACTTGTAGTGGCGCCCTCAAGCCTCAAAGTGGAGCTCTCTACAAAAAGCTGGTTGCATTTTTACATGACGGAAAAACTGCTTCAAAATGACCTCTCTACAAAAAGCTAGTGCATCCAACATGATCTTTACATACCACTATGTGTCTACAATGTCTGGGGAACCAACCCCATTTTTCTGTATAAATCAACTATTTTTGTCAGCCTCAAACGTAGCCCAAGCCCCCTCAAAACGTAGAGGAAATTCAAAGGGGGATATAATATATAGATATATATTGATAATACTACTGTATATACATCAGCTTTTTCCATGGCATGTGAAGGCCCGTAGGCATCACCATGGTGTATCGATGTGTATCGCCTGATCACACAAATACAGAGTCTGTCAGGGTCAGCTGCATGTTTCCTTATTCGATTGCAAGTTGTCCATCCAAATTTGTCCCACCACGCTGCCACAGCTACACCCTGCCTCCATGTCCTCGGCCTCATCCTGACAGTGCTGGTTCTGTTCCCATGCCCCATCCCTTGACGCACTTGAACGCACTCGACCCACTTGAACGCAGTGAACGCAGTGGCACATTCCAATGAAAAAAAGCTTGTCCGGCTTGTCCCATGTCCCGTTTTGTTCCATACTTTCCTGTCCAAAACAGAGACAGCCTGTGCCGCGTGCAGGTTCCAGGCCTCATCCATCCCTTTGCTGAGGTGCAGAGATGGTGGAGCTGGTAATGCCTAGGAACTGTGTCATCACATATCGGCATGTCCTGACCTTTCCATGGGTGCACACCTTCTCTTACCGAAGCTGCTCTTTAACTTCTGAAACACTACAACACTGTATTGCCTCAAGAACTTCGTCATTGAGAAATCTGAATCACATCATGGTGCAACAAGTGATGAGACATGCATGACTCGTAGCTGGTCTTAGCTGTTGGCCTTAAAGCCGTGATCACCACTGAGCTCTTTGCAAACCATTGCTCAAAGTTCTCCAGCGAACTAAAAGCAGAAGGTGCCACCTGAGCGATGCACAGTGGATATAATATGATTGCATGGTGCAACTTTCTGTGCAAAGGGAGATGCCACATACTTCCCTCGGAGATAAAACAGACTGAAGCGCAAACATTGAATAGCCAAGACCTCTCCAGCTGGTTGTCTTGCTTGACGCTATGGCATTTCCAGTTGAAACCATCGTAACCCCAGCAGCATGCAGCCTCTGCATTTCTTTTGAGTCTGGATGTTCGAAATCTTTAAGGCATTGACAAAGGACAAAAGACTCCATAATTCGCGCAGGGAGTTTTGGATTGGCCTGGCAGTGAAAGGTTTTATAACGTTTTAGATGGTTTTCGGTTTTCGTGGGTTCGCGTGCTGTCTCTTCCAGTCATTTCCAGTCACTGGTGCGGCCAATGCCACAACCATCAAAATCTGCCAGGATGGCGTGCCAGTCAGCAACAAGCGATGTCGGCAGGGCAAGCGTCGGACCACCTGCAGAGCTGCGAAGCTACAATTTTCTGCAGCGCACTGAGTAGCACACTGCCGAGCAAACGCTTGTGCAACGCGACGCAACGTGGAGGCAAAGCAAAACAGTGCAAAAAGCAAGGAATCTGCAGGACACTCATTCTGCTTAGATGTTTTCGGCGTCTTGCAACTGCTCCAGATGGGGTCATGCTCTGCCTGGCTGCTGTGAGCTTTGTGGTTCTTAATGCGGTGACCTTCATCTACAACAAGACCTCAAGGCAGCTCAAGACAAAAATCTCAGTTCCAAGCTCAAGACACCCAAGTGTCCCTGGGCTCTTTCCATCCCATCGGACGAATGGATTCTCCAGTGATTCAAAATTGATCAGACTCTATCCACTCTCTCCACTTGCAGCCACATCTCGTAAGAAATCCAAACCAACTCAGCTTCAGGCAGCACCATGGGAAATTCCCGAGGAAGGCGTCGTGGCTTGCCATCGTCTGCCGCGTAGGAAACACAAGGAAACCCAACTGACTCGTCTTAAACAAAGTGTGTCAACGAGATGCAGTGAGATGCAGCCTCGATAGCCCTGCAAGACCCTCAATGACCTTAACATGCTTCAACAATTTATATAAAAAAATACAGTATCTCAATGCACTTTTGTGGTGTTGAATCAGTTTTGAACAGCTTTGATGTAAGTTGGATCAACTTTGCACACTCTTTGTCGCTGCCTGTCCACACATGCCCACACCCATATGACGCATATGCCTCATAGTTCGTCAGGACAATGCTCACCTTGTTGCCGGTATTCACCGTCTCCTAGCCGAGTTCATCGAGACGGGCGCTGAATGATGTCAACATATTTCAACGGCACAGTGGCACACCCATCAAGAAGATAACAAGAAGTAGAGGGGATCCCGGGGATCACACAAGATTTGTTCGAAAATCTCCCCAGCTCAGGCCCTTTATCTTTTTTCAACACTCTGAAACCGCTCAACAGCAATAGTCTCCTTCTCAACAGCTGCAAGTTGGGAGGCATTCCCACGATATACTAGGAAGCGAAACGTGGGAAGCCATTGAAGAATCTCGTCACACCTCATGTCAATTGACTGATCAGAAGTTCAATACTATCTAATCAATTCCAAAGCACTTGCACCAAGGAAGTACCCAAGCCCAGATTAGATATTCCCAGGCAAAGAAATCCTCTTGAAAAGTTTCCAATCATACAAACTAAGCGATTAGATGCGATTAGAAAGGATCAGTGTGATACAAAAAAGTTACTCCCATACTCCAGCCCATGTGTTTCTCACTGAGGGCCCCGGCCAGTGTTGCAAGGTGCTCATAGGCGATACCACGAGGTGTGGGCCTGCAAATCAATTGTGTCAGACCGGCTCGATGATATGAATATCTAAGGCTGTAGAATGCTGCAACGTACAAGCCATGATAATCAGTCGTTCTTCAAAGCCTTGTATGATCAACTGAGATGTGACAAAGCGGGTGGCAGCTTAGCTCTTTGGTCCAAGGCTGATTGATACCTGCGATATCTTGCCATGTCTTGCCAGTTCACTTGTTCCTTGCACTATACCCCCAAAGGATCCCAAAGGTCTCAGCTAGCACCTTTTTCAATCTTTGCGAATCTTCGTGTTCATGCACAGCTTTTCCCGCTTCCCTAGACCCTTTTAGTCCGGTCAGCGAAGTGCGCCAGTCTTGTGTGGTTTGAAGTCATGACCAAAGGTGGTGAGATCGGTTGGCTTGCGCCCACCCAAGTCGTTACAGACAGCTTCTGGTACGTGTCCTGCATAGCCCACAATATCTTTGTGAAAGTTCGGAATGATATTGGTTTTGTCCACTGACCGTGGTGTTGCAGATGCACGCATATGACTCTCGCTGCCAGCATAGCGTGGGATGACGCCTTGATAACCTGGGATGTGTGTTGTACCTCTGGTGCTCCCTGCGGTCAAAGAATTCTTCAACACTGGCATTTGAGTGTCCCGTGGTGTGACCTTGTCTCTGGGATTGTCACCATTCCTGCCATACTCTGCATGGTTGCAAGTGAAACTTTGCAACTTGCTGATACAACAGCGAGGTGTAGGCACCTTCCGGCTGGCTAAGATCTGCTGCGCTGTCATCTGAGGTTGCACTCTTCGAGATCCTCCTTCTGCTGAGTTGTGGGCATACTCTGAACGCCAATGTGCAACGCCAATCTGACAAGAATGGTCATCCGCATGGTCTGCCTTTTTGTCTCCACGTGGTGTTTTGAAGTCATCGGGGCATCTGAGCTTACACATTCGCCTCACATACTCAGATTCAATCTGACTATCCTCAAAGAGCTTGGCGAAGGGCGGCAACGGAGCATCTTTCTTCTTCGCTTCAGCCGCTTCTGCTGCAGCAATCTGCTCTGCTTGCCCAGGCTTCAAGCAAGGAGGATGAACTTCCTGCAGGGGCGTGTAGAGGCAATGCTGCACCGCCCGTTTGGGTACATGAGCCATGGATGCCGCCATGGATGGCTTCAGGCATGCACCCAATAACCCGCTTCAGCCAAAATGGCTACAGCGCAGCTGTGCTAAGAGCTCCTTGGTGTAGCATGAGTGTGTAAATGCTTGGAGGGACAATGAATGACATGCACTGGATCTGGAGGTCAAATTCTAAATCATCCACGGTTTACTTGTGTGTTGACACCATCAACACACAAACAAGCATCCCCTGCACGCCTCGTTGTTGACGGCTTTCAGCCAAAAAGGCTAAAAGCGACAAGGTTTGGACGGTCTTTCCAAGTCCCATGTCATCTGCCAGAATGCCACTCATTTGGTTGTCGGTCAGCCTTGGAAAACCATCAACATTCCAACAGCATTTGATAGCATTTGTCTGGACACTCAAGGTACAGAATTCCATGACCAGCATTTGCCTTGAGAAATTCAGAGAGAGAGAGAGATGGAGAAATTTCTCTAAACAGTGAGGGCAACCGTGGAGATCTCGTTGTTGCGATTCAGTAAACCTTTTGGCCTTGGTCCAGGCCTCACCAACCAGCGAAGTCCATTTGCTTGATGAGGCATCAGCTGGCCATGCCTTGAATCAATAGGATGAGTTGGAACAACATGTTACGGAAATGCTACGAATTGTTACAGCATTGCATCATGAAAAAGATTGAACAAGTAGGAAAGCACTCGCTCTCCGAGAGGGACTGGCAAAGAAAACATCGAGAACAGAACGATTTGTTCCAAACAAATCTCCGTGAAATCCTGGCGTTGAGCTAAAGCAACATGGAGCAACACTTCAAATCACCTCTCTTAAAGATTCTTAAGGGGGCCACCCGTCAATGCGAAACGCATCGAAATGCATGATCTTTGTTAGATTTGTTATGTGCGAAGTCCTTAAGGCCCAACTAGTCTCAACTAGTCTCAACTAGTCCCAACTAGTCTCCCAGTGCGGGATGGACTTTCGAGGGTGGAACCCACGATTTGTCGGAGCTGCGCTAAGGCTTTTGGTTGTGTCACATCCTTTTCCTCGCTGCTGCTGACACCCAGCTCAGCAAGGATTCGTTTCGTCTCGTCCAGGACTTCCTGCAAACGCTGATCCTGACCAGTCAGCGGATGGATCAGAAGTCAGCAGCTGATCATTCTTTCGACGTGTCAATCCACGCTTTCATACTATTCATGACAATGCGTTTGCTACACCTTGCACTTGCAGCTGGAGAATCTGCGGTTCTAGAAAAAAATCAAATTTAGATTAGATTCTTTACTTTGGTCATCAAAATGAGATGCAAGCCAGACTGCGCAAAACATTACAAGTAGTGTGGGAGTGCGCATTAGTACACAGTTCATCTCCTTGCCTTTGTCTCTTGGACCATTGCAGCATACTCCTGGGACGAGGAACTGGACGTGCTAACAGGCCATGGTTTTGCTCCGGCAGTCTCATCACGAGGGGAATCAGTTCTCCAGCGACAAATGTGATAGCTTTCCACCTGCTTTGAGGGGCCTGGTCCCGGATATCAACTTATCATGGTTTCATCCCATTTGATCCGATCTCATCCGAACTCATCGATTTCTTGTGCCATCCCTGCCTTCATTTGCCCAGTCCGCAGCAGTTCAAGTCGACGCTTTGCAGCTGCTGCACGCAGTTCTGCACAACGTCGACGCAACTGGGGGCCGTAGGCAGCGCACTCCTTTTCGCAGAAACGCAACAGATCCGCGACTGTCCAATTTTGCTAATTTCCCACTACATGGCATCATGGCATCGAATCAAAGAAGATGCTGTGATATGATATTGATTGAAATTGTATATTACATACATCATTATACATCTAATTATACATCGATATATTGTATCTTGATTGTTCATGCGAAGTTCATGGCATGCCACGTGCATAAAATCCGCTGTTTTCGAGAGCTCCTCTGCAAGGCGCAGCAAGGTTCGTCGCCGTGCTGTGCGTTTCAACCACCAGAGATCCGAGGCTACGGGCAGTTCTTGCAGCAGCCGCCTCCAGATCCAATGGAACTGCTGGAAGTGTTTGTCGGAAAATCGATTGGAAGTTTGAAGTTTGGAAGTCAATTATGTGAATTCGGAGGTCGTGTTGTCGTTCCGATGCTACCGTTGAATTGCACAAATGTGCCAATGACAATCCAATGACAACGACGGCGCAGAAGCAAGGCCCATGGCGGTTGGAGCCTTCGCACGTGTATTGTTTTTGCCCATGGCATGAAACCATCGTCGTCTGAGGAGAGAACTGACATTGCCTCTCCACAGGTCCAAAATGACATGAGATGCCACTGCAAGTTGTGAATCAGGTCACAAGGTCAGCTGCGGTCAGCTCTAGACATGCTGCCGTTGCAGCCGTTGCAGTGAAACCCATGGACTAAGGCTGACCTCGTCGCTGTCATCATCATCCACCTGCGCTGTATGGAGAGTAGCAACTGCGAAAGAAATCTCACCATGAGCCATTCATGTGGCTGCTTTTTGATGCTTTTTGCACAAGCGGCAAGTACTGGTATCAGGCTGCAAGACGTCAACAACAAATTTAATCTGGTGTCCAAACCCCAAAGCATCAGCTCTTTCTACACAGTACGTGTTTCCGCCGTTTTGATCGATGAAAGTGTTTCTAAGGCCACCACCAGCAGCATGAACCTCCCCATCTGAACAAGCTCGGCAGAAGGCCTGGGGACATGCTATGAAGCAGGAAGCGCAGTTGGCAAATGGTGAATAGAACCCACAACAATTAAGACACGTCCAAAAAACAGTCAGAAATCATCCAACTTCAATTCACATCCACAAACCCGATTCCCGGCCTGGTAGGCTGTGCAGGCACCCGGTGCGAGTGCGAATGTAGTATGCAAAATGTGTGCTTTGTCCCTCAGGAATTGTAGATGGTACAAATGATACAAAAATTCACTCCCGCCCTTTTGGAAAGGATTGACTATTTTTCAAGGTTCTCCTTGAATTTGCATGAGGTTCCCAGCATTCCTGGGAGAAGCAAAGCACGCACTTCGCAGGGTAACTAACTCTGGCAGGATGCTGATAGAGAGCACGGAGATTGTGGTCCCTCTCTCTGTCTCGGTGTGAGATTAACATCAAGCTGCTTAAAGCTTGCAAGTGTCCTCGTCTCGATTATTTCCTGAAATCATTTCACAATAGAGTCAATACCGTGACAAATGTAATTCTAATGCAAAAGAAGATGGCTGCATTCTTTGGCTAGCATAGTGCTAGCATGATACCAAGCAGTGCAAATCTCAGTGAGTTATAAATTCACCCGATCTCGCGGCATGTGTGATACATTTTGACGCATGCGCTCTGCAAGGAGTGACCTTGCTTGGATGACATTCGGGGGTTGATGAAAACTTTCCAACGGCAAAAGTTAAATTTGTCAGGGAAAATTGATCCAAACATATTGTGATATTGTGACCAACAACACTTTTCATCAACCCGAAATGCTGGCGCCGCATGGTTTGGGGAAGGCCAGTTCAGAAATAATGGTTTGAAGTGTCTGGCATGAAAAATGAAGTTTTCATGCTGCCTGAACTTTCAATTCTTTAGACAGTAGCAAAATGTAGCAAACACCTTTGTTTGACATCTCAATCCGGCACCTACTCACTTGTCCATAGACAAACCGCTGACAGCTAGCCTTCCACCCCCACGCCTGCTCACCAAAGCTGACACGGGAATTGTCTGTAGTCGATGCTGCCACAACAGCATACTTACACTTTATAGCCTGTTCTTGCCCCAACAAAGAATTTGACGTCAAGAGCAAAACATGGTTGATGTGTCGCGCTGGTTGGAACGCGAGGAAGTTCCACCACTCTGGCAAAGTCTTTCCATTGCCGGCAAGTGGTTCGTTAACAGCAGGCGCGAGGGTTGCAGCCCGAGATTTTTCGTTGGTATTGCAACAGTACTGCGGTCGCATTGATCACAGTCAAAGGTTCTGAAAGTTTCATGTTGTACTGCCACCAGAAAAGCTGCCCGAGTAAAGTGATGGTTGAAAACACTGGCCAGGTTGCAGGGTCTAGCCTTTCCTCCTTTCCTCAAACTATTACTTTTCTGGATTCGTGTGGATCGTCACTCAAGAAAGATCAGTTTCTTTGAGTCAAGACTCTTCACACTTCTCGGCGGGAGAGCCATTCAAGAAAACATAAGTAAGGTCTTGATCTTGAGTCGGGTCGGAAGCGCAATTTCTAGTGAAGAGCTGTTGAAGATTCTTGAAGGCTGAAATAGGCTGAACACTGTACTGTTGCAATTGCTACTGCCTTTTGGACTGGGTCTCAGCACATCAGGCGGCACCCCTCTTTGGTGCCTTGTTGGGCGGGTATCAACGTCATTGACTGATGCAACAATCGGTGGCTTGTTGAAGCAGACTGAGCAACTGAATCAACAAGCATTTAGAATGTATACTAGAAATGACCTATTATTTTAGGAGGCCAAGACAGGAAGATGGCAAAACAAGCTGAAGATTCAGGATGTATTGGTGTTGTTATGCAAGGAAAGTAATCTCAGTTGCTAGGAAATGGTTGATTGTCCACATTCTGTCTTACAAGTTCACCTGCGACATCAGCAGCAAGTTTAAGAACAAGTGGTTCTCATGTGTGGGCCAGGCTTCAATTCAAAAATAAACAGCCACGACCCTTTAAGAAACTTATTCACTGCTTCAAACACAACACGTCAGGACGCAACGCCACCAAAATTGTTTAAGTAAAAAGAAAGAAAAGTTTCGGGTCCAGACTTCAACTTCCATACCTTCCATAACTTCCATGTCTGGATATCCAGTCCAGCAGTGCCCGAACATCCAAGTACTGGGGAAAGAAACGCACGATTTCAGCGCTACAAGGATCTATTGGCATTTAATAACAAATTTAGTATCTGAAGTTATCTGAAGTTTCTGGAATTATCTGGTTGGTAGGTTCAATTGAAAGGAATCCTGGCATGGCATGGCCTCAATTCAACCACATAACAGCACCATCAACCGCCCACCGCTACCTTCCGAGAGCTGCAACCACAGGTGCCTCAGGTGAAGCAGTCAGGTGAAAGGCTGAGGATGGAAAACAATGGAAAGCTTGGGATATTGCCCGTAAACAGACCGTAAACAGACCGCTTTCCCTACTTGGCATTTCCTGGCCATTCGGGACGGCTTCGCCTAGCGCCTTCAGTCGCTCGTTCCCAGGGCTTTGATCAACAAAACCCAAAAACTCACATGCTCCGCTCCAAACAACTCAAACAACTCAGTCGTCAGACCGCATTGTAGTAATTTGTAGTATATGATTCTATGATTGTCATTGATTGTCTTGCCAGTCAAAACAGAGAGGGATTTATGATATCTTGTGAGTCGATGTCTTGAATCGATTATTCGTGAGCTCCGTGGAAAACTTCGGATGTTACAAACAAATGAAATTCACGTTCTCTACCCATCCCTTGGGCATTCCAGCAGGCGGTGCTGGTCAAGCCCCATCCCTGGCAAATTTGTGGCCAATGTGTGCGACTTGGTCTGAAGCATTGACTTCCACGTGCTATATACTGATATTACATAATATTACATAATATTACATAATATTACATAATATTACATAATATTACATAATATTACATAATATTACATAATATTAATATTGCATACTATTAATATTGCATAATGTTACATAATATTACATAATATTACATAATATTAATATTGCATAATATTAATATTGCATAATATTAATATTGCATAATGTTACATAATATTACATAATATTAATATTGCATATTATCAATATTGCATAATGTTACATAATATGACATAATATTGCATAATATTACATAATATTACATAATATTACATAATATTAATATTGCATATTATTAATATTGCATAATGTTACACAATATGACATAATATTGCATAATATTAATATTGCATATCATTAATATTGCATAATATTAATATTGCAAAATATTACATAATATTACATAATATTACATAATATTACATAATATTACATAATATTACATAATATTACATAATATTACATAATATTACATAATATTACATAATATTACATAATATTACATAATATTACATAATATTATATGCTCATTTTGCTTCTTATTAGATGTGCTCTCCCCAAACAGCCACTTTGCTTGCGCTGGAAGAACAAAAACACACAACGACGGCAACGACGGCTTGTGTCCTGCTACCCGACACGGGTATCAGCCTTGGGTTGCAAACTTGCGCAAACTTGTCAGCCAGAGCTTCATGCTTGTGAAGAAGCAAAGGTCTGTGCCGAATAAATCTGTTCACCCAGGCAGTCTGCGACCGGTGCCCAGAAGAAAAGCCAAATCGCAAAGGAACAAATGCACTAAACAAATTACTCGCATGACTGTCGGAAACAGCTGAACTCGTTCAATCTTCAAAGAGATCCATTAATCACTTGGCCATTCACCCAGAAGAAATCGGCTGGCTGCCATACCTGCTCATTGGCGATCAGGTCATGAAGTGAGCCAGCAAATGCTATGATAAAATAAACGCATGTCAAATTCAAGGCCAGGAATGTGAACATGTTTGTGGGTTCATGATCTTTTTATTGGTTTCATAGCGTCTTTCTTTTTTTGCAACAAGGATCCTTTCCTGGAGAGTCCAGGCACCGAAAACTCCCAAAAGGAACAAGATGATACAAGATGATACACAAGATGATACACAAGATGATACAAGATGATACACAAGATGATACAATATGTACATTTTAAGTCATTTTACACTCCAAGAAATGGGTCACATGGTCAGTTTAGAAAACAACTACACAACTACGACTGTGCCAGACTATGCCACACTCCATTTCTCAATGTTCAAAGGAGACCACCTCGATTGTCGACTGACTGTCGACTGACTGTCGACTGACTGTCGACTGACTGTCGACTGACTGTCGACTATCTAAAATGCTGGGCCTCCCAGGTCCAAAGCTTCTTGAGCACGTTTGTTCTGCCTTGGCCAAAGAAACACCTACTAGATCACAAGTGATCACACTATCACTCAATATCACTCAATATCACTCACATCATTGCCTCAAGACGGCGGTTGAATAAGTTAAGGATAGTTGAGGTGATCATACCGTTTCAAATCCACATCCACCCTGCTTCAAATGTTCCAACTGAAGCAACTTCTTGTGAGATTGATGCTGTCTTGCAAATGTTGTCAGGCTGTCCTCAGCCTGAGATCGCGACCATAATTGTTTTTCTCATGTTTTTCTCTGACTTTGCTGCCTTTACCTCAGAGGACTTATGGCACATGCGACACAGCATGTCAATGAAAGAACTGCTCTGCCACAATGTGAAATAACTCTACCACAAGGCAGGTCCTTCTCACTAAACAATCGTCACCTGTTTTTTAACGTGCTTCTGAGCAACCGACCCTGCACAACTTACAGGTCCTTCCCAGCAGTAAGGTCAAGTTTTTGTTCTAAAACACAAGCAACGCAGTAGCAACGCAATAGCAAAGCATGCCAACGTTGGAGTCATCAGGCCGTGTCTACACATTGTCGATCGCGTTCTACAAGAAAGAGTCGAATGTCGACAGGAACAGATCAAACATATTCAAACACACCAAATCTCCTGTGTGTTCTGGGTTTGACTTTGGCTCTCTTGACTTGTCAGGTTGTGATAACCATCGTCAAAGGCCGTGTAGCTCTCCTGATCAGCCATGGACAATTCGAAGCGAGGATGTTCATTCATCAAATATATTCAAATATCAAATAATATCAGCATATAAATTTAAAATAAAGGTTCAATCTGATAATCTGCCTTCAGCCATGCTTTAGGTGGTGTGTTGGGAGCTCATCTTCCAACATGTCCTGCGACATAATGTTCTGCGTGTAGTTCGGAGATGAATAGGCGGAACCTGAAGCAGGTGAAGCAGGTGATGCGGTTGAAGCATGACAAGCAATATGATTCGGTGTGTCAGTGGGCTGGTATCGCCATTGAAGAAGACATCGCAAGTACAGATTTCCAGGTTGGAGACCATGCCGGGTTCGCTTCAGTCAGCCAGATTCAAGGTGGCAGAGTAACACCAACATCCAACATTGCAAAGTGCCTGCTACACTGCTACACTTGTGATTACCAAAACCGAAAAGAAATTTCAAACCGAACTTGTGAATTGCCAATATCTCCGCCTTGCGAAAGTCCGCCCTGCTTTCGCAGGTTCTTCCCCTTTTTCTTGCGATCCATGGAGCCTTGACTCCTGCGCAGAAGTTTGATTTGTGCCGATATCGAGATCCCTGAAATAGTTTGGTTTTTCACATCTTTGTCATCTGTTTGTGTCGAGTCGTATTCCTCACATAAGTACATATATAAGCCATCGTGAGAAACAATCTTTGCATGTTCCTGCTCGTGTTGTCATATCCAGCATACCTCAACTCTTTTTTGACACGAGTAAGCAACCAGTATTTTCTTTTTGACGTTGGTTTTGCTCCGGCTGCGATATGGATATCGAATGTCACTCTCAACAACTCACTCTTCACTGCCCTTCACTCATTTGAACCCATGGGGGGACGCCAAAGATCCTGTCACTGCTTCTTTGCGAAGGTGTCAGGCTGGCGCTTTGGCTGTACCTCGTGTTGCAGACCCACTCAGACTTTGTGGGGTCCAGTCATGCAAATCTCAGTCATCCAAATCATTTGAACCTCAACGTCCCCCCTTTGCCGGACATTGGGGTTCCTGCTTGGTACTGGCTTCCATATATCTCTGGGTTAAAAGTTGAAAATAATTGACTCCGAAAAAGGCATTCAACAAAGGATCCGGCATCGATGGGCCATTGAAGTACCTGTGCCCAAAGTCTTGTGCGTTGTGTTCTCCGTACCGTTGGAGGTCTAATCAGCAGAGCAAAAACATTGAACTCAAAGGTAAGTTGAAGCAGGAAACTGCTGAATGTATATAAGTGAACAAAGTTGACCACAGTTCTTGTGAAGCCACCACTTTGATTTGTGAATGGATGATGATTGATGCCTTCCGGATTTCTGCGGCTAAAAGAAATTGCAAGGCAATTGCAAAGTCCTTCGTCATACCCGGATCCCTCGCTGATCAACAGTGCAAATATGTGCAAATGCTGTCAAGTCACTTTGAAGGTGCCTGCACTGGTCCCAAGGATTGGGCGACCTGGTCCATTCCGTGTTGGTGTACAAGCAAAGCAACAGTGATTGAAGAGCCCAGTCATTTGTTGAGAACCAAATATGGCAAATTCTGATCGAGGAACTGGTGTGGCAATATGATCAATAAAACGAAAATGCAATTTGATGTCAAATTCTTACTTTGCTTGGTGTCAGACCATGCCGGGCCTCAAGGAAATGATGCAAAAATATGTTCAAAAATCAGTCAATGCCAAGTGACATGAAACTGATTCTGGTAAAGTTCTGGTCAAGTTCCTGTGCAATTTGTGCATTACGATCGACCGTGCAGACCACGTCTACCTGACTCTGACTCTGTTTCTGGAGGCTCACCAAGGCTTCGGGCCCGTGGCCGTTGGAGCTGCTTGCTGCAGGTCCTCGATAGTAGTCCTGGCCCGGTCTTTGGATGCCGCAGTGCCGTGCAGTGCCGTGCAGTGCCGTGTCTGCTTCAAGTGTGACAATTTATTTTGCACGGCAATTGCGTGAAAAATGGAATTGATGCCAGAAAAGTTGCTGGGAACTACAGGTCATTCAGCGATTCGATGGCACGACAAAACATGCAAGCGAGGACCATGTCCACCTGATCCCGCTTTTCGTCATCGAATTGCCCTACCTTTCGGAGGCAAGTTGGGCAAATGTCTGTGAAAAGGTAGAGACTGCATTCAACTGTTGCTATTTAATGATGTTGATACTGTTTGATACATGCAATGAAAATCAATAAATCTCTCCAGTACAAGATAGTACAAGATCAATACCGTAATCCTGGCACTGGCCTCGGCACCAATGGGCCCCTTCGCGAAGTAGCGAGATGGCAAGCGCATGGGTTTGCTGAAAGTGATGTGGCACCTGCAAGTGTCGCCGAAGCAATCATAAGCAATCTGAGGTTCGCATCATGAAGGAAATTGTATTTGGAAGATCTGATTTTGAGATTGATTCTGAGCTGTGAAACATTGTGGTGACCACCACATCCTGCAGCTTTGTAGAAAAACACTCTGAGTCTCCAGCTGTCTCAAATTTGACAATGCTCCCTCCACCACAAGCTCATATTTCTTGTAGTGGCTCAGCCTTGGATGTAGAATCAACATGTCCAGCCCGAAGCAGCGTCAATCGAGACGTGCAACCTGTTGAAGCACAATTCAAAATAGGTTCAACATAGGTTCAACATAGGTTCAACCAAAAACTCTTCAGCGAAAAGCTTCAAACCTCTGAGGAAATGGCAGGTTGACCCAAAGAGATGGCTGGGACCGGAACTGCTTTCCCAACACCTGACGGCCAAAAGGCTTTCATATGGAAAAGACTTGGCCAGGCGGCCTGCACAGCATCTTGATAGTCACAGTCCTAGATGTCTTAGTCCTTTGTCTGGACACCAGAGAACACAGAGATCACAGAGATCACAGAGATCTATCATAGTCTATCTAAAGGCCTGAAAGACACCCAGCAATTCACCGTTATTTACCTCTCAAGCATCAAGTGAAATCCAGGCCTTGGCATTGCCACAAATGATCAGCCCATATTTGGCGCGGGTCAAGGCCACGTTCAATCTTCGAGGGTCGTTCAAAAAGCCGATGCCCTGATTCCTTGACAGCACACTGCCTTCCAACGTTCAGCAGAAAACATATCAGCAGGATTCAGCAGGATGATCAAACATCACAACTTGACACAGGATGAGGACAGCACTGATTTGACCGCACGCAGGACAGGAGAATAAAGTCCTGCAAGTCAAAACTGACACATTGAGCAGCACTCCTGGCACCTCAAAGGTCATCTATCTAGATCATTTTAGATCATTCTAGATCTATCTGTTCATATACCATCTGTTACCATCTAAGGTTTATCATGGTTTATCTTATTTGCCATCGCTGTACCTGTTTGATGCGTTGTTCTCTAAGAAAATACCACTGTGCCTTCTCTCGGCCCTGGAAGCTGTCAACGCTGGCAACCTCGATCTCTTCGTATGCCTCGGGCGATGGGCTTCAGCACAGAGATTTAGACTTCGGAACCTGAGTGGCTGAGTGGAGTTGATGATAGACTGATGTAATATTGATGTAACATTCATGTAATTTATGCTATGCTCAGTTGCGCTCTGCTACGCTCTGTCCCAAAAGAAAGAGCGTCTACAGTTCCTGCGAGCCTTGTGACTGAAGCAGGTCTGTCGCTGCAGCACAGAGCAAATGTAAGCCTCAGCAAATCAAATGTCACAGTATCACACAACAAACCCAGTCATTGTTTGGAAGATGCGAATATCTTGGACGGGCCTGAAAGGACTGCCTTCCAAGCTGTGAACATGGTCAGAAATGCTTAATGTCCTCCGAATCTCAGAATGTGACCCTCTGTCCCTCGTAGGGCGTGATGATGCCAACCTGATTTGCGTCATGTGTCGCCCCAGCCATTTCTTGTCTGATTGCAGTATGCACAGGTGAGCGCACCTGGTAAGGCTTCACCCCAGACTTCAAGAAGTAGGTCACCAACTTCTCGATGTTTGTCGCCTCACCGAGTATTACAAGATATATATATATATAATATATATATATAATTATATATATATTATATATATATATCAATATATTACAGTAGTGTTTTCCGAAGTTTTCCTTCAAAGACGGGACTCCATCGAGATGCCCAGCTCCGGCCTCTGTCCTGTTCAGGTATGAGGTGCCCGAGGCAGAGATCTCTTCAGCGCCCGTGGAGTTCAAGAAGAACATTGGCATGTCTGGACCTCGTAAAGCAAGACTTTCAGACTTCAAACTTCTTTGATTTTCAGTCATCTGATCAGGATCATTGAAAACATATCATCCGTTCCTCACAACTCTCCAAGCATATCATCTCTTCAGAGCCCTTGGCGAGGCCAAGGGAAGTCGATTCCTGCATAAAGACGCTCATTCAAAGTCACGCCTGGGTCGCTTCTGTCACTCGACATCAACGTCACTCAACGTCACGCAATGTCACTCAACGTCACTCAACGTCACTCGACGTCACTCGACGTCACTCAACACTCAGAGTTTTTGAAGTAGCTTGAAGTTTTTTGAAACGCAAATCTCAGCTCTCACAGGCCCTAGAGGCCATCTGAGTCCCAGCCGTTTTGCAAAGAGCCATCGTAAAAGGACTGCGATGGAAATTCCGAGAGGCACGGGTGCATTCGGTATTGCACCTGAGAATCTCACATGCACAGAGTCTTTGTCAATGGATTGATGTAAGACAAATTCACAGGAAACACGTGGTTGTTACCCCAAATATATAGAGGTGCCCTTTGGATTTCCTCTTACACCATTTGATGCCGACGCTAATTCAATCTCAACGATCAAGATACTTTGAATCAGAACGATGCAGTGCATGCTGCACGTCAGCATTTTAGCATCTTATACGTATAAGCGATCTTAAGCCCTGCTCTTACCACTGCGCCTCCAATCGCACCGGTCGAATGCCCAAAAAGATCAGGCGCTCGAAAAGGCTCTGATGCAAGCCAGCCTCACATGAAACTCACGTGAAAAGCTTCGAATTGCTCCGTCTCTGTTTGCCCTGGAATGCCCTGTCAAGTGATGTACAGCATCCACTGGTCAAGCCTTGGCGGCCTTCTTGCACATGATGACCTTCGCTGCAAAGCAGTGCAAGATCAACAGCACATTCGACCCGCAAAGGTACTCACTTCAGTAAAAAACAAAGAACATCAGAATATCCATCAGAATCAGAATATCAGAATATCACAAAGGAGTGTTCGCACAACGAGTGTGTTCGCAAGACTCGAAAACGCGGCGACACTTCAGGTGCTGACAGGGCCAAGTTGGCAATGATCTCCAACCAACACAATCTGCTTGGCACCCATCCTTGGTAGATGCGAGTGCATTCGCTTCGAGGCGTCTTGGCTGCAGTTTTCCATGTAGCGAATACAGTCGGGAGTGTCACCCGGTTGAACCCAACCAACTTTCTTCAGCATGCGCTCTAGCTACTCTAGTTCGGAATTTTTGGCACCCGGGCATGATTGGGATGAGGCACTCTGGCTCAGTGGCCTGAACAGCTTGAGTTCACTCGATTCGCAACCCGGCCTTCCCAAGAAGAGAACCATTCTGAATTCAGATGCAAAGTATCCTCGAGTTGCAGATGCTTTCGTCCCAGATCTATCAGGCATAGAGACGTCTCTGGACTCCAGAGCAAAAAGTGTTCTTCAGAGCATTCTGACAGTCATGCAGGTAGCGCCTGAGTCGATTCATCCACCAAAACCTGCTTGAAGCGGAAGTTCTGCAGTCGCGGGTCACCAGCTCCAACCTCGACCACCAGGAAAGGGCAAGGATCTTGATGTATCAGTCACCTCCGAACTTTGAAAGGAAATCTCAAATTCAAAAAACTTCAGACACATTTTCTACACGGAAGTGAAACCTAAATTCGGCACAATTCTAAATTGTAATATATTGTAATATTCTACAGGAAGTAATGGCGTCCTTGGAAAATGATCTCCACTGCAGGTTCACTGAATTCCCGAGTGCCCTGCGCATGTTGTGCAAATTACATCTGCGGCCTCGCAAATTGCACTGAGCACAAGCTGGTCAGGACAAAGGAGCCCAAGAGCAGAGGAAGAGGATGGAAGAGCAACGTTGGATCCAACACGTTGCAGTTCTGGTTGCAGTTCTGGCAGTTCTGGTGAGGTTACGGCGGTTACGCTATACCAACAAGATCCAACACGTCTCATTGTACCGATCCCGCTTTTACGTCTCATTACATGCTTTTGCAACAGTTCTTGCATCTCTCAGAATATCTCAGAACCCTGAAATAGGTCCAGCCAGAGTGACTGTGAGCAATTCGCGCTCCGTGGAGTTCTGCAGCTGTTTGAACTTCTTCTCATCTGCATGAGACAACTCACCTCGCCAGCCCATCGGTTCTTGACGAGGCAGTAGGCTTGTTTGCGTTACTTTACGTTTTTTTAGTCATGAGAAATATGAAGAAATGATGTGTGCCAAAAAATGTCAGTTCATCAGTTGTCTTTGAGAAAATTCCGGGTAAAAAAAACTCACGAAACCTGTCTACCCCGGCAGGGCCTAACTCATCCTTCAGGGCCAACAGCTTCTGCAGCTCCTCACCATCTCATGTCATCTCATGTCTAGATCTGCCCAGTGAAGCCTGTTCATCCTACGTGTGACCCATGTGATGAATCCAGAAAATACCAGAAAATCCTGGCTGTTTCCAGGTTTCCTGGTTCTGTTACTGAAGTGGAAAAACTTGTGGCGAAGATCGAGCTACGGCTCAATTTGGGAGTGCAAAATTGAGCAACTTTGGCACATTTTGGCACATGTCTTTGAACAAGCAGGTGACCTCTGACAATTCTCGATGCATGGTGAAGAGAGAGGGCTAACGTGCGGAGAGACCGCCACTTGTGCTTTGCTCTTAAACCCATGGCGCTGTAAGCTGTTGCCTCAGCAAGAGTCTTCGTTATGTCGACCCCTCCTTGACCCTGCTTATCATCTCCAGGTGATTGATGATAGTATCTGATAGGGATGTGAGTGGAGCCCTCGTCCTGGTGGTCAGGTGTGTCCAAATGTCTCACCTGGTGATGCCTCGGGATCTGCCAGGCTCAGCTGGCTGGCTTAGACGGCTCAAACATTTGCGCTAGAAACAATAGACGCCAAACATTGCCAAACATGACTTGGGAAGATTCTTGTCAAAGCTTCTACAGTTACGAAGTAGCCAGGCAGCGGGTGCTCGAAAGTTGCAATGGTATAATTCATCGTCTGGAAAACAGAACAAATCTCCAAGAGCTTCAACAGCTTCAACAGTTTCAACTAAACTTGTTATAACAAACTTGTGAGTCCACAGCGACTTGGCAGGTTGGTGCCATTTGGTGCCCGGACAATGTCAAGAAGTCAACACTGCTAGCCACTGCTTCGCGGCTCTTTGCGCTCAAACGCACGACCTCTGTGTGTTGACTGCTGCAAATCATTTGTGCTGGGTAGACAACCAAGGACAGTCCTCAAATAGGCATGTAGACCTTTTTTTGGCCTGTTTGATATGTATACTTAATTTTCCTTCTCCCCTCATGGGAGGAATTCGGTTTCAGAGGTGAAGTCATTCTGTCATTGTCACACTGTTGCAGAGAAGACTGTGAATTGCAAATGACCCTCAAATAGGCACATCAATATTATTAATCTGGTGGATTCTAAGTCTTTACTGAAACAATGTTCCGACGCAAAGTTAGAACTCCTGTTGTGTAGCCTCTTGACTTGAACCAGCTTGACTTCTGGATTCCCTGTCAGCTTCGGGTGCGGCAAGTCCTGACATCCCTCAGATCGAGTGTTGAGGTGTCGGCTTTCAGACCTGTCTTGTGTAGCTTCTCAGCCAGCTGGTCAACAGCAATGTTGGAGGGAGCACAAACCAAGACCTGCCGTGATCGGAACTCCACTGTGCCGGTCGGTCTCAGTGGATCTCAGTGTTAGTTTCACGTTGTGACATGCTTTTCGAATCTTTTCGACATGCTTTGTGACATGGTTTCACTGAGTTTCACTGTTTGTGTTGCAGCAATTGCAGCATGACAGCATGCACTAACATGCACTGCATGTTTCATCAAACAGCGACTGTCGAATCGCATCAGCAAACTCTCAGCGAAGTCTGCGAGCTCTACCTGACCCTGATTCTGCCGAGTGAGGTGGAAAACAATGGTGGCACTGGTCACGGTCTTTCCTGTTCCTGGCAGCGAAGCTCAGCTACAGATTTCGTGCATTGTCACACTACATTTGTAGCCACGAGAAGGACCCTTCACGGCATGTATTGAATGACTGATTGTCACACAGAACTCTGGGCCGCCGGTTCACCTTATTCGGTAAAAAATATTTGAGAAAGAAAAAACACACCAGCCACCCCCTGCAAGTGTCCGCCCATCACACCTGGAGGTCCCTGGATGAGGCACAATGGATTTGACAATGCTTTCCGCACTGCGTAGACCTGGTCCAAACAGTCCACACTCGACACTGTCGACATATGTCGACATTGTCGACACAACGATCTTTTCACACATGATCCATCATCAGTCATCATCCTAGAAAAGCGATTGGCACCCAAAGCTAGTGGCAGCACCTGCGAGTGGTTCAGTTGTGGAAGGTTTGGAGCTGTGAAATGCTTCGGCACATTCGCACCTCAGCAACTTGGCACTACTTGGCACTCCTGGATCCCAAATCTTCATCGCCCTTTCTGCTGAAACATGGCCAGAAACTTCGACAAACTTCGACAAACTTCGGCCCTGGCGAATGGTCTGAGGCTCCACATCATGACCTCACCCAGCTGTCCGATCAAGCGCAAGCTTTTTCAAAGAATTCTAAGGCACTGGCCCAGGAGTTTGTGGTACAAATAACCAGAGACCTGTCCAGGAAAGGCACATGCTTGAAGCTGGTTGATTCCTAATTGCATGTTGGAGTCCCATGTCAAGCACAACTTTGTTGTCTGTTTTGTTCCATGCCATTCAGCTGCATTCATCTTGCCAAATGTTGCGATTTTTGTGCTGTGGTCCCCAAGCCATCCAAAGCCATTCCGCTCTGATGCTTCACTTAGGATGCTGCGCTGGTGTCATCTACCGCAAAGGTGCGCATGGCAGCTTGCATGCGGTCAAAGGATGTGGACTTCCAAACCTTCATCGTGGTCAGATGTGGTGAGCCATCGCCGGTGGCTCTATGGATTTTTTCTGTACATCCTTTATTGTTGCAACTGTGCAATAGAGTCCTCTCGCCAAATTATATACACCGATGAAGCATCTGGCGTTCAACAAGATTCTGAGCATCCGGCAAACTCCACTTGGAAGCCATGGTTGATGTCCCATGGGCCTACCTGCAGGGAAGTAGTTGAAAACAAGATCATTCATTCCCAGCTTGTTGCCCTGGCTCGAATACCCATATGTAATCATCAGAAAAACTCACTGTTGGGACTTGACCAACCAGGCAGGGTGTGTCAGAAAAGCGGTTCAAAGTCAATATAGTAGCTTCTTTGGCCAAACCAACACTGGACCTGCAGTCAAAACACGTTACCTCCACAGAATGTAACAAAGATGTAGTATTTTAAAATGACTATATAACTACACTAAATTAACTACACTGAACAGACTAAAACCCACGGGTCTGCAACTGCAATTCCAGCACCTGCTGAGGTCCACGGAGCTCCAAGGCAACCTCCTCGTTTGCCGTGATCTTCGAGACGTGACCCACGGCATTCCAACCAGTCTCCTCAGCGTCGCGCAAGTCACGCACGTCGCCCAGTGAAACTCATGTAGCGAGAAAATTCCAGGATCGAATCGATCGAATCAATATTAAAATGATGATCAACTGCGTATTCACGATGCACATGAAAACACGCTACATCCAGTTGAAGGATTCCTCTCACCACGGCTAAGGTCCCTGCATCTGCGTTTGCAAGGTTGGCATAGGCAGATGAGTTTAAGCGCAGACGCAGTTCATCGCCCGGCACCAACCGTGCCTGTGCCAGGTTGGGCTGGATGATATGGTTGATACGAGTATTGTTGTGCTAAGCGTCAAATATATTCACATATCAAGTCAATTTGCACCTATCATACCCGAAGCACAGTGCTGCGTGCTTCATGGCACGCGTGGATCAATATCGAATGCTTTTTCGACGTGTCAGAGGTTGTCACGTGTCAATCATCCTTTGCTGACTCGACAGTCTCAGATCAAATATCTGGACTGGAGATCTGGCTCTACACAAGAGAGTCTACGCAGAGTGGTTGTACTCCTTTGTACTTCCACATCAAAAGTGCGTGAGGAAAAACGGTCACGTGACTAAAGATCTGCCTCCAAAGGCGACTAGGCTTCAAGGCTCTTGAGGCAACCTCCCTTCAGAGGTCGTCCTCGCCTCCTCTCTCAGGAGACACCAGAGAACTTGCAACCTTTTCCAATGAGTCGACATTATGTCTGTATGAATCTGGCGCTGTGTCAAAATAAGGGACGAAAGAAACGTCACCATTGCTTCTTTTTCTGATGTCGCAGTTTTGAGGGGTCCCTATTCTGGCACATTCTGGCACATACGCCCAATGATTGTTGAAAGTGATCGGGGTTTGTTCCTTTCTGCAGAACAGAAACGAATTAACACCAGCCACACATGGAAAGGACTTCACAGAATCTGACCAAAAGGCTTTTTACAAGTAATTAATAGTAATTACTATGTTACCATCAGTATGGAGCTGTATCGAGAGATTCTCGCCTTGCCGGGTGGCCAGTCCAGAACAAAATTTGGCTACTGCTCACTGAAGGAAGGAGCACGTTGGGCTAACCTACCTCTGAACCGAGGTCTTGGGGCCCTGTCCTAGTTGCCCTCAGAGAAAGCATAGCCACGGCGTCGTGACTTGCCAAGAGTATGAGTATCCAAGTGAAAGTCCAAACCAAATGCACCTCCTGTGCGATCTGCTTGGGCTTGTGCTTCCGTAAGCATCTTCACCATGGCTTCGTTTCCGAGCTCTTCTGCGATCTGAATGGGGCTTGCTCGTTCGATGCGGACGACCTGGTAAAGGCTGCTCATGTCTCTTGAGTCGTTCAAATCTGCAAAGCCATGTCGCTGAAGAAAAGCATCCACCAGCTTCTTGCACAAGGTATCCATTGGGAAACCTGTCTGCATGAGTGGACACCGCTCAACAATGCAAGACATACTCAAAATGAGAAAAGTTACTTGAGCCACAGAGAAACGCGAACTTGAGTCCGGTGGAGGCAAGTGCTCTGCTGGCAGTCGCTTACTCTTGTGGGGCTTTCGGCCCTCCGTGATTCTCAGCAAACGACAAATGTCAATTGAGTCAGTTGATGTCAGTTGTTTTTTTTTGGATCTTTGGAATCGTGACTTATGCCGAAGCTGTATGGAAATCAATAGCAAATCTGATGCCATCCACCTCGCTGTCCTCTTTGGTGAAGTGAAAATATGCAATCCGCTTCTTGTTGAGACCTGCAAGGCTTCTTTTGCAATGAGTTTCAAACCTGCACTGCATATCACTGCATATGATTGAAAAGAAAATCAGCTCAATTCAAGTCAATGTTGTTCTTCCGCTTAGCTCTCCAAACTCATCTTCAACATGAGGAAGATTTGTTGCATCCCCAAGTTCCACACCGATATCCCATCTGACCACTACCTCAGGTTTTCTGGCAGCGCTAAGAACTGGAAGAAACCGAAGCAAAACAAACATACCAAGAGCGCAAAACCACTTTAGGCACATAGGTCTGTTGTGTTTTTTGTTTTCTCAAGGTGTTGGCAATATTGCCTTTCCATGGATTCTGCAACGTACTTTTCCCCGAATAGCTTCAGCTATAAGGCTATAAGGGTTCATATTTCTAAATGAATCGGTTGCTGATTTTTGAAATTGGTCCTTTCAAATTTGTCCCATATGTGCAAAACATAGAAAATTGCATGGATATAAAATGCATCTACACATATCTACAGATTATCTACACATAAACTGAAAGCATAGGCCTTGCGCCGAGATGCGTTCTCCTGCGACTGCGACTCTTTCACTTTCTTGTCGTAGTCAGCCTGTTGAAGCACCACTGAGGTGGGACTTGACATGAGAAACGGCAACAGGCAATGTGTGACATGAATGACATAATAATACATAATATATCCTGCTGCAGATCCGAAGTTCCTAGCCGGACAATGCTGGACCGACCAGGTTCTCTCCATGAACCCCAGCATGGCCTCCATCTTCACCAGCGGGGCAAACACATGCTGGTACTGGTAAGCATCCTGCACAGATCGCAGAATCTCCATTTCCTTTGGAAATATCTGGAACGTGTGCAGAATTCATGAGAACCTTGGGGAACCAGATGCGATTTATCGGGTAGCCCGATGTAACCCGGGTACCTCCCAAGGCTCGCCTCGTACCGGAGCATCACCGGCTGTGGGTCATCCTCCATGCCTTGTTTTTTTACATGTCGGGTTCCAAGACATCGCCCAAGGTGTGACATGTCGGACGCGTCGGACGTGCTGGTAGCGCCTGGACCAGACTTTCCATCTAAGTCCTCTATGGTGGCGTCTGGATTGGTCTTCCACATCCTAGGAACAAATTTAACGCCAGGACGGTTTGAACATGTTTGAACCATATCAAAGTTACCAGTAGTGCCGGGCCCGCGCCAGAGCAGAAGTTTCGAAAAAAAAAAATCGACTACTATGGGAAGAGGGCCTACTGTATGGGAATGCTTTTGAAATGCAAAGCAACGAAATGTTGAAGCTGTGAGGTGTTGAAGCTGTGAGGTGCACCAACGAATGAGGAAATGTTGTTGAGATACCACTGAAAGGACATGAAAGAATCCATGCACAACTGACTGGATGAATCAATGAACCACTGAACCGGTGAATCAATGAGCCAATGAATCGAGGAATCAGTGAACCGATAAACGAACGAAATGGAAGGAAGCAATGAATCGATGAATCAACCGATCAATCAAGCAATCAATCAACCAAGCAAGGATTCAGCGAGTCAATGAAGCAACGAAGCAATGAACCACTGATTCAATAAATGAGTGATGTAGTGAGTCGATGAATCAACGAATCAATGAATCAGTGAAGCAACTAATCAAGGAACCAACGAATCAGTGAATCAACGAATCAGCGAATCACTGAATCAAAAAATCAAAGAATGAATGATTCAATGAATCAACGAATCAATGAATCAATCAGCCGATAAACCAATGAATCAGTGAGTCAATGCATCAAAGCATGAAATCAGTTTTTGAACATTTTGAAATGCAAGTCGAGCTCTCGCTACAGTCCTGCGCGCTTTTTGTCGACAACTTTCCCACGGCGACCCCAGGAGCCACATTATCCGAAAAAAACACAGGTTTTCGCGCTTGAGAGTGTTTTCACCCGTAAATTCACGCGCTTCCGAACTGATACATTTCCCAACTACTTGATGATGGGTGGTTGACATGATGATGTGGTTGACATGGTGGTGGGAATGCTAACCATTACAATCGTCCGTAACTTGGAAGTTTTCTAACTAAACTTCCTTTGATGACATAGAGCAGTCAAAAGCTGGGACAACCACTCTTCGAGCTTGTTGACCTGGAGGTGTGTCAATTTTGGATGTCATCAAAATCTCATTTGAACCATTGGACTGTTTCCAAGAGTGTTCAGAGCAGCTGTGCACCTGCGCTGCTGTGATGTTCCAGGAGCGCATTTGTTCCTGGCGTGGGGCCATGTTATAAAATCATGCTGCAATGAACATGTTGATCCAGGTGAACGGGTGCTCTCTTGCAGGGCTCTCATGACGTTCATGGGAGTTCGTTAAACACTTGATGACAGGAGATAAGCACAGCTTCATGCTCAGGCCACGCAAACGGACTTTCTACCTTGCGCAAACCTCTACCCTTGACCATCTAGCCACTACTAGCATCATCTGATCATCTGCGACTACCTACGACCACCTGTGACCACCTGTGACCACCTCGGTCACATCTCACAGCCGTCGCATCCCATGCAAGTCACCACTGCGCCTTGGGATCTGGCACCTTCACCAGCCAAGGCAAAAAGCTACGATCCTGGCACGGCTTCCAATTCTCCGAATGTCCGTTCTGCTTGGCCCATGCATGCAGTGCCAACCAAAGCATGCCCGCTTATCTGCAAATTCATCTGTATCTGTCTCTGTGTTCAAGTGTGTTATGTGCGTATGGCAAATAAAGTATGTATGTAGGTTATGTCAGCAGGTAGGTAGGCATGTAGGCATTCAGGGTCGTAGGCATGGTGGACCTGGAACAAGGAAGGCCCTGCAAGTGAGCGGATGCAGTTCACATCCCACACCGTACTTCTCCTCAATGAGGGGCTGCCATTGACCAAGGTCCCAATTGGAGTCCTGAAATGAGAAACACAGCGGTGGGAGCCAATAGCAAAGCCCATGTGATGCGCTTTGTGTACTCAGTGTACTCTTAAAATTATTTTGCCAATACCAGGAAGTCCTTAAGCGCATTGTTCGAGAGACAAACGCGGCAGAGCCTGGGAGGTCAGTCGTGCAAAGAGCACATGGAAAGCCAAAGCTTTCAACTTCAATTCTACTATCTATATAAGACTATATAAGTACGATTACAGTATCAAATTATATATTTGTAGAATCCAACTTCAGAGATCACCTGTGAGAAACTATGTGTGCCGACTTAGGGCCTACTTTTGCGGCTGGATTTCGATGCATCATAGTGACATAGTGAAAATATGTGAAAATCTGAAGTTGCTTTAACATGTTGTATCTCTTGGACGCGAACAGAACCACCACGGAGTCGCTTTTCGCTGCGATGAAGCCCAGCAGAAACACATTCCGCTGACCTCAAAAAGCTCAGGACCACTTGAAGCGCTGAAGGCACCGCAGGCGTCCGAAGCTGAGAAAATCTGGGAAAGCTGAACAGTCTAAAGACATCTAAAGACCCCAGCTGGCAGTATTGGATTCAGAGTTCGGAGAAGATTTCGCGACAGTTTTCTCTCCTGAGGCTCCCTCCACAATTGTAGCATTCCAAAACAATTTCCCCTAAAGGGCTTTCGGGATGCAAAGATACCTGCAAGTTGCGAAGGCTGCTGGACACTGATTTGATGGTTTCGATGTGTTTCGCTCAAGCTACAGATATTCAAAGTTCAGGCTGTTCAGGCCTCCTTCTGCTTGGCTCTTACAAGATGCAGAATGATACAGCCTCATGGGACATGTAGCTGTTTCACAAGGGACATGGAGTGACGTGCAGCTTTGTTTTCTCAAACTTGCACTTGTTCGGGAAAAACAACGAAGCGGGCTGGGGAAAAAGGACATCGAATCCCCCTCCCATCTCAGGCTCAAACTACTTGGAAGTCCTGGAAGCCGATTATTGCAGAACCACTTGCCATCACCGCGGCACCTAGGCCGCAGGAACCAGCATCGTTTGGGCGATCACCTGTTCAATTGGAACTGAATCCGGTTTCCATTGCCACTTCTGAAGTTCGAAAGGATCCAATCTTGAAACGGCTTAAGCCGTCACATGCCGTCACCCTTGTCTCTCGCAAATCGACATAGTCTGATGAGTCCGAGTTGAACACTTCATCACACTACCAGGGCTGTGAATACCGCAGTACCTTGGCCGAAAGACTTGACGACTTGACGACTGGACGACTTGACATCTTGGCACAGACTCACAACATCTCACAACATCTCACTGCTCGCCTGCAGGCATGCTCTGGCAGATCCTTTGGATCATAAGGAGGCTCAAACCTGAGCAAAGATGCGAAAAGCAAAGCACTGAAAAAAAAACAACTGGAAGAGCAACTGGAAGAGCCTAGAAATCCTAGAAGAGAAACTCAGAAGGTCTTAAGAGTCTTAGAAGAGCCTTTTAGAAGAGCCAAATGGGCCAGAAATGGCCAGAATCAATCAGTCACTAATCTTAGAAAAAAGACAATATCTTGAGAAAAATCTACAAAAATCTTAGAAACTTCGCTGCCAAGTCACTCATCGTTCATGTCTAGGTCATCGAACTGGAGCCTTGAGCCCAAGTCATGGGGAGAGATTCAGAGATGCTCTGGCTCTTCAGATTTCAGGGGGTGAATGCAAAATATTGCAACATGATTAACATGATTAACATGATGACTTTCAAGTCTTATGAAATTACATGAAATTATATGAAATTATATGAAATCCTGTTTTATTTGATTCTGGTCTGGTACTTCAAGGTAAGAGAAGCGGTACAGTCTACTGAGTCTACTGTCTACTTCCGCTACTTCCGTTGGTGAGACATCGCTTCACACCTCCCTGCCATGTGAGTATCGACCATCGACTTCCAAGTCATCCAAGTCATCCAAGTCAAGTCCAATGATGCCAGGAGGACTCAGCTGTGGTCTGATCCAGCAACGAGACCACCGGCTCCTGTGATTTTGCTGGCACAAATATCACGGGGAAGGGAAAACAAGGGAAACCGAGGGAAAATCCAAAAATCATGCCCCAATGGCAACAACCTGTGGTCAGTCCCTTCCACGCCTGCGACAAGCCAGACCTCTGCTCATCTTGTGTACCTTCCTGCGTACCTGGTATTGACAAAGTAAAAGCCAACCCATTGCCACGTGGGACGTAGGAATATCGGTTGCTGACTTTGTGATACATGCATCGGTATATGATGCACATATGTGTGTGTTTGTGTGCATAATATTGTGAACATTTGCGCTGGTGTTCCAGCCATTCATAGCTTGCTTCTCTCGTCCTACCTATTCTGCCCCTCACTGGACAAGTCCGACACAGGCCTTGCGTTGTGTCATAGGGCATATCCAGGGTGTTCTGACTGAGGTTCTCGAACTGGGAACCCTGAGCACAGATCAAGTGAGTTTCAAGATCTGTCGTAGTGAGAGTCTTCTTTATGCGTGTGGCACTGTGACAGTTATTCCATCGACTGATTTCCAGTGTAATCACAGCACAGTGAAGCATGCCTGCGTGTTGAACTCATCCAGAAAATTGAAATTGCCCTGGCCAAGAGCGCAACAAGAAACACCTATGTAAATTGTCTGTCCGAGTCTGTCCTATGATGTGACCTCAACACCTGTAGTGCCCGTTCTATGCAAGATTCAACCTTTTGCGAGATACCGATGGAGAGACGATGAGAAAGCAAAGTAAGCAAATCCAACACATTGCCAAGAAGCAAAGAAGCTCTGCTGCACATTGCCACTGCACTGGCTGCACTTTTCTATTCTTTGAGTTTCCTCATTCTTGGTGCAAAGGTTGCCTCGCCGTACAGCAGGTCATCCACTTCTTGTGACAACTCACCCATGGCGGGCCTCGGAAGCAAGTGCTACAACGAGAACACAATTGCACCAGATGTGCACATGGATGATGTCGGCATAGTGAAGCGTTTGGTGAGGTTGGCCAGAAAAGTAGAACCCAACGTGCTCCCAATGCATGACATGGATCCACCACAGTTATCATTTGGTTATCATTTGGCTCAAGGTTCTGTTTATTCTGTTTATTCACTTCAAGCTGCATTGAGATCAAACATCACCAGTTGTATATGTTGAACGCAGCTGCACGTCTCGGACTGGCCAGTGTGTTTCAGAAGTGCCTTCTTTGCACAAATGATTTAAATTAGATTAACTAAATTAGATGCATTGAATGGCAGAACTAAGTAGCGATAACGGGCCAAGGCTTGGGAGCGGCATTTGCAATAAATATGGCAAATACGGTGTTTTTTTTACCGCAATACCACCCTCCTGAGGTCTCAACGTACAAAGCCTGTCTTGGCTTCGCGAGTGTCCTATCTAGGTTGAGCCAAACTTTGAAGAACAAGGAGTAGACTCTGAGTAGACCTTAAAGTAGTCACCAATCAGAGAATTTGGGAGTGCAAAGCTCTGGCCTTTGAGTCTGCAAATGTGAGCAAATTAAGCAAAGGTTCAGTGTTTCATCTTTGCTTGAATTGAGCACTCTTCACAGAGAATATCAAATTCTGTGAGGGGTAGAAACTAAACGCCCCTAATTAGAACCAATGCGACTTCAACGAAGGGTTTCAGATAAAATGAGCTAGTATGGGGTCTCGGTGCGGTGTCTTGGCTTTTGCTGGCCCACTTTCAAGTGGATTTCGTAACTCAAAGAAAGATTAGACATGAATCCAAGAAACGATCACAACCACCAGTGGAAGACAAATTTGACTTCGCCGGAGCTTGCACTTTTCCACGTGCCAATCAATGAGTCACACAAGGCCCAGTCAACCTGTAGCCAGACTGCTTCTGGCAGCACTTCTGGCACTGGTCATTGCATTTACAGCATCTGATTTTGCGAGGAGTTCAAAGTGCGGGGAACACAGAAAAGTCCACACTTGTGTGACACAACTAACAAAAATTTGCTCTTTGCCCCCTGCAAAACCCAGCAGGAATTCAATGCCTGCTTACAATGTGAAATTGGAGACATCTCTGCCTTCAAATGTCCGTTAGAACACAGACTACAGATCAGATTGAATATAGGAAAATTTAGGAAATATAGGAGTCCAGGATTTTTTGGTGGGTTGTTCTCTGTTTGACAGGTTCATGAGAGACCGCTTTGGGTCGGCCATGAACTCTTTGGACATCTGGAGGTGCAGCTTGGGGCAAATCAGTGCCGCATCCGTGTTGAAACCGATGCCTGATGCAATCAAGTAGTAATCTTCACGAAACAAAGGACCCAAAGGAACCATGACTGGCAACAGAGACTGACACCACCAACAAACATATGCATCATATGCATTCATATGCTTGTATGCCAAAGAAAATAACTGCGATGAACCTTTCAAATCGAAGGTCGGGTTACTTGGTGGCCCAAATAAGCTCTGATTCCCTGTGAACGAGCTCATTGCAGTGCACTCAAAGTTATCCAAATTGTCTCAAATCTGTCCCTCCATGTGTGCTGCAAATACTTTCTTCCACCAGAGACACAGTCGCCAGCCTTGGTCCTTCCACTAGCTTTGATGCCGAATGAAGCCAGCAACTGCAGGAGATACAGGTCTACAAGTCATCTACAAGTCATCTACAAGTCATCTACAAGTCATCTACAAGTCATCTACTCAGAAGAGTTCATTGTCTCGATGAGGTGCTGGACTACCGTGTTGGACTACCTCCACACTTTCAATGTCTTGTGATGTCTTGTGAATGTATCTGCATTAAATGCTTGAAGCCAACTCTGGAGCAAGGGCAGAAGTTCATCAAAATGTCCTTCGGCAGGCTTTTTTCCGCAGTCAATGCACGATCTCTTGTGCTTATCCGACTCAATCGCTTAGAGATACGCCGACTCCTCTCTCGGAGACTCTGAGGCAGTTCTGGCAGCCACCGTCTTCGCTGAAGCCATGCCTGGTCACCGAGAAATCTCCGGTGCATCGCCGGGTCACACTCGTCTGGCGTCGAACTTTTTCCATCTTTTTCCCACTGATTGCAATTGAAAAACATTGAAAAACTGACACACAAGACACCCCCTCATAATATCACAACACCTCGAAACAAAATAGCATCGCCCGGCAGCTTTTTGCAAAGTTTCTACTGGAATGGCAGCTAGCTAGGGTCGGGACTTACTCAGCTGTGTCAAGACTCACAAGTCAACTTCACGGCCCTGCCCCATTGTCCCATTGCTCCAGTGCCTTTGGTGGCTTCTTGCCCTCTTTTAGCCACTTGGGTGGCCACACACCCTGAAAAAGCACTGGGCACTGAGCATTGGAAACAAACAGACCCCAACATCCACTCCCAGCTCCAACACCCTGATCACCCTCCAATCGCCTCACATTTGATGGCCCAAATGTCCTGAGACAGCCATCCATTTGACAACAGAAGAGCAACAAGATAGCAACAAGCAAACTGCCGAAACTGCCACCTAGCCCAGCTTTCGCTCAGCTTTCTCAATGATCCCGATGTCACCCACGTCATTGTCATTCTCGTGTCAATGAGCCGTCAATGTGCCATCAATGTGCCGTCAATGTGTCTAGAAGCTGCTCCTGCCGATACACACGGAATGCGCCCTCACTTGTCTCGCTCACTTGCAGTTGAAAGACCTGGTTGACAAACGCTGACAACAGGATGGATGAACTGCTGGCAGATACGGCATATGCCGGGACCCTGTCATTCCAGGCATTCTACGCCAGCTCCCAATGTGCAACATGCAGCTCCAAATGCAGCTGATCCACATGAAGGGTCAAGAAGTCAAGGAAGCCAAACGATATCAACGAGAAGTTGAGGGTCTGACATCTTCCAGCAGCTCACGAACCACCGGTTCCAAAACCACCCTGAATTGATCAAGGATGTACCCAACGCTCGGAATACAAGAACATCCTAGGCTGACCTGTAGGTTGCCTTTAGCTGTGTTTTTTGGCACAAGTGATATTTAGTCGCTGCCAAGCTGGTAGATCTAGTGCTCCAAACACTGCTCTCAAGATCTATTCACAGGGGGGAGTGGGATTCAAATTCAAAGAAGCAACAGACACTGGGGACGGGAAAAGCACTGAGATGCCAACTGGTTGTCCTTGCTGTGAATGCCCTTGCCAACGATGATCTTTAGTCCCCTGGATGAATTGAATAGCTGCAGCTTCGCCGGCTTTGCAAACGGCTGCCCAAATCTGTCAAGCAAATTGAATTCAGCCAGGCATACCACAGGAAGGCAAGATCATCTTCTTCCAGATCTGGCACGCCCTTGGCAAACGTGACAAATGTGACAAGGGAAGGAATAGCTAAGTTGTGTCCCAAGTTATGCCAACTCGGCAAACGTGTCGCGTGGTCTCCAATCCACTGTCGCGATGGTTCTCATTCCTTCTCCGGGTGCACTGACAGAAAGCGCCACGTAAACTGCCACCTTTGCAACCTGCTGGTGCGCAGATCTGACCTCTCACCCGTCCTAACCCGTCCTAGCACATGTTTTAGATTGATGCGCTTCCATGGAAAATCATTGCAACACATTGCAGCCTTTGCAGGCTTCAAATGTTTGAGGCTGGCCTCTGTGCTCATTCCGTGAAGGTCCAACAGCCTGACACAACACACGAAATCCCGGATCGACCGGATCCATTTGTCACAAAGGAGTGGTGTCGGCCTACCAGGTCGCACCCATGGTGTAAAGGCTCCATCCTTCAGAGCCTGTCCAAATGATCATGGACAATCGAGGTGACTCGGAACGGAGATGCGCGCAGAAAATGTTGAGATTGGACTCATCGGACAAGCATTGTTGCAAATATTGTATAATATTGTGATATTTGTTGTGAAAACCTCTACATTGGGCATCATCGGGCATCGGGCATCATTGGGCACCGGTCTTGGCCTCCATGTAGAGTTTGGACGCTCCTTCCACCTTCTCCATGAACACCTGGGAAGAGAAGGCGCGCAGGGCTCTGCCCCAGATCAGCGAAACGTGAACGGTTCGCACATCTCTTCAGGAGACTCAGAG